CAAGAAGACGACATGTCAACCTGAGACCGAGCACTTCGGTCCAATCAATCGACGGGAAAATCAAGAATTCAATTCAATAATTAATATGACCCGTTGCACAAGAGGTGGCTCTCGTGGCCCAAGTGGTCTAGTGGATAACGCTTTGGCGTTTGAAACTATGGGCACTGGGTTCGAGCCTCGGTGGGAACATCATCACTCACTGAGAAATGCAGGTACATCCAGCTGACGAGTCCCAAATAGGACGAAATGCGCATCCTGGATTCCACTGCTAGCCACCATCCACCAATTGTATACAAATCAAATCCCCAGACATCGTCGAAGCATCTGCACAAGAAGACGACATGTCAACCTGAGACCGAGCACTTCGGTCCAATCAATCGACGGGATAATCAAGAATTCAATTCAATAATTAATATGACCCGTTGCACAAGAGGTGGCTCTCGTGGCCCAAGTGGTCTAGTGGATAACGCTTTGGCGTTTGAAACTATGGGCACTGGGTTCGAGCCTCGGTGGGAACATCATCACTCACTGAGAAATGCAGGTACATCCAGCTGACGAGTCCCAAATAGGACGAAATGCGCATCCTGGATTCCACTGCTAGCCACCATCCACCAATTGTATACAAATCAAATCCCCAGACATCGTCGAAGCATCTGCACAAGAAGACGACATGTCAACCTGAGACCGAGCACTTCGGTCCAATCAATCGACGGGAAAATCAAGAATTCAATTCAATAATTAATATGACCCGTTGCACAAGAGGTGGCTCTCGTGACCCAAGTGGTCTAGTGGATAACGCTTTGGCGTTTGAAACTATGGGCACTGGGTTCGAGCCTCGGTGGGAACATCATCACTCACTGAGAAATGCAGGTACATCCAGCTGACGAGTCCCAAATAGGACGAAATGCGCATCCTGGATTCCACTGCTAGCCACCATCCATCAATTGTATACAAATCAAATCCCCAGACATCGTCGAAGCATCTGCACAAGAAGACGACATGTCAACCTGAGACCGAGCACTTCGGTCCAATCAATCGACGGGAAAATCAAGAATTCAATTCAATAATTAATATGACCCGTTGCACAAGAGGTGGCTCTCGTGGCCCAAGTGGTCTAGTGGATAACGCTTTGGCGTTTGAAACTATGGGCACTGGGTTCGAGCCTCGGTGGGAACATCATCACTCACTGAGAAATGCAGGTACATCCAGCTGACGAGTCCCAAATAGGACGAAATGCGCATCCTGGATTCCACTGCTAGCCACCATCCACCAATTGTATACAAATCAAATCCCCAGACATCGTCGAAGCATCTGCACAAGAAGACGACATGTCAACCTGAGACCGAGCACTTCGGTCCAATCAATCGACGGGAAAATCAAGAATTCAATTCAATAATTAATATATGACCCGTTGCACAAGAGGTGGCTCTCGTGGCCCAAGTGGTCTAGTGGATAACGCTTTGGCGTTTGAAACTATGGGCACTGGGTTCGAGCCTCGGTGGGAACATCATCACTCACTGAGAAATGCAGGTACATCCAGCTGACGAGTCCCAAATAGGACGAAATGCGCATCCTGGATTCCACTGCTAGCCACCATCCACCAATTGTATACAAATCAAATCCCCAGACATCGTCGAAGCATCTGCACAAGAAGACGACATGTCAACCTGAGACCGAGCACTTCGGTCCAATCAATCGACGGGAAAATCAAGAATTCAATTCAATAATTAATATATGACCCGTTGCACAAGAGGTGGCTCTCGTGGCCCAAGTGGTCTAGTGGATAACGCTTTGGCGTTTGAAACTATGGGCACTGGGTTCGAGCCTCGGTGGGAACATCATCACTCACTGAGAAATGCAGGTACATCCAGCTGACGAGTCCCAAATAGGACGAAATGCGCATCCTGGATTCCACTGCTAGCCACCATCCACCAATTGTATACAAATCAAATCCCCAGACATCGTCGAAGCATCTGCACAAGAAGACGACATGTCAACCTGAGACCGAGCACTTCGGTCCAATCAATCGACGGGAAAATCAAGAATTCAATTCAATAATTAATATGACCCGTTGCACAAGAGGTGGCTCTCGTGGCCCAAGTGGTCTAGTGGATAACGCTTTGGCGTTTGAAACTATGGGCACTGGGTTCGAGCCTCGGTGGGAACATCATCACTCACTGAGAAATGCAGGTACATCCAGCTGACGAGTCCCAAATAGGACGAAATGCGCATCCTGGATTCCACTGCTAGCCACCATCCACCAATTGTATACAAATCAAATCCCCAGACATCGTCGAAGCATCTGCACAAGAAGACGACATGTCAACCTGAGACCGAGCACTTCGGTCCAATCAATCGACGGGAAAATCAAGAATTCAATTCAATAATTAATATGACCCGTTGCACAAGAGGTGGCTCTCGTGGCCCAAGTGGTCTAGTGGATAACGCTTTGGCGTTTGAAACTATGGGCACTGGGTTCGAGCCTCGGTGGGAACATCATCACTCACTGAGAAATGCAGGTACATCCAGCTGACGAGTCCCAAATAGGACGAAATGCGCATCCTGGATTCCACTGCTAGCCACCATCCACCAATTGTATACAAATCAAATCCCCAGACATCGTCGAAGCATCTGCACAAGAAGACGACATGTCAACCTGAGACCGAGCACTTCGGTCCAATCAATCGACGGGAAAATCAAGAATTCAATTCAATAATTAATATGACCCGTTGCACAAGAGGTGGCTCTCGTGGCCCAAGTGGTCTAGTGGATAACGCTTTGGCGTTTGAAACTATGGGCACTGGGTTCGAGCCTCGGTGGGAACATCATCACTCACTGAGAAATGCAGGTACATCCAGCTGACGAGTCCCAAATAGGACGAAATGCGCATCCTGGATTCCACTGCTAGCCACCATCCACCAATTGTATACAAATCAAATCCCCAGACATCGTCGAAGCATCTGCACAAGAAGACGACATGTCAACCTGAGACCGAGCACTTCGGTCCAATCAATCGACGGGAAAATCAAGAATTCAATTCAATAATTAATATGACCCGTTGCACAAGAGGTGGCTCTCGTGGCCCAAGTGGTCTAGTGGATAACGCTTTGGCGTTTGAAACTATGGGCACTGGGTTCGAGCCTCGGTGGGAACATCATCACTCACTGAGAAATGCAGGTACATCCAGCTGACGAGTCCCAAATAGGACGAAATGCGCATCCTGGATTCCACTGCTAGCCACCATCCACCAATTGTATACAAATCAAATCCCCAGACATCGTCGAAGCATCTGCACAAGAAGACGACATGTCAACCTGAGACCGAGCACTTCGGTCCAATCAATCGACGGGAAAATCAAGAATTCAATTCAATAATTAATATGACCCGTTGCACAAGAGGTGGCTCTCGTGGCCCAAGTGGTCTAGTGGATAACGCTTTGGCGTTTGAAACTATGGGCACTGGGTTCGAGCCTCGGTGGGAACATCATCACTCACTGAGAAATGCAGGTACATCCAGCTGACGAGTCCCAAATAGGACGAAATGCGCATCCTGGATTCCACTGCTAGCCACCATCCACCAATTGTATACAAATCAAATCCCCAGACATCGTCGAAGCATCTGCACAAGAAGACGACATGTCAACCTGAGACCGAGCACTTCGGTCCAATCAATCGACGGGAAAATCAAGAATTCAATTCAATAATTAATATGACCCGTTGCACAAGAGGTGGCTCTCGTGGCCCAAGTGGTCTAGTGGATAACGCTTTGGCGTTTGAAACTATGGGCACTGGGTTCGAGCCTCGGTGGGAACATCATCACTCACTGAGAAATGCAGGTACATCCAGCTGACGAGTCCCAAATAGGACGAAATGCGCATCCTGGATTCCACTGCTAGCCACCATCCACCAATTGTGTATATCGGTAGCCCAAATTTCGCAGGCCGACCATAGATATCAGGTGTGCGTCGGCAGGGGATCGAACCTAGGACCATATGCAGACTGACATGGCTAGAACACTAGTGTGAATGCAGAACCACTTTTCCTCGACGAACAGCCCTAGCTCTATTATTATTGGGTTCAAAAATAATTAGTAGTCCATCCAAAACCTTGCGCCATTCCATGATATCTTTTACAGTTGGTTAGGATTAGCCGTGAAGAGATCTCGGCTGTCCGGATACCAAGAATCAATGGCTGCAGACTACTGATGGTATGCCAAAAACGTTCCCAATGGAGCAGATGCATTCGCTCTTTGTGATCTCCTACATACATTAAATTCTCATGCTGCTCCACATTGCTATTCCTTCTCATCTGTATTTCTACCCAACCTGTCCTTTTGAACCTCTCTCCTCGTTTGTCTAATCTTGTGTGCTCTACAGAGAGAGTCTGAACACCCAAACTGCTGCATTTCTCTGCAAAACTCTGTCGAAACACAGACAGTCAAATTAAACTAACCCAAATGTACACACGCTACTAACTGGCTAAAGCACTCAGGTTCAGCTAATGAGCTGCGGGTTCGAATCTTGTCCTATTTATTTCCGGCTTGGGTGATAGGATACTACCATTAACCCTCCTCATTATGAAGTATACGTCAGACCAGTAGGTGAAAGACCTATTCTTGCTAATGAGTTCAAACAACAACAGATAAATGCACATATATCGGATTTATTCTCTGCAGAAAGTGAAAGCTAATAAAACTGACTACACAAATGTATTGAACGTAAGGAAATGAAGAAATCGAAAACAATGGGAACTTGTTTGTATGAAATTGCGTCATCTTCTTCAAGGGGAAAAATACACAAGGATGATGTGCACATAATCATTAAGAAAGTATTTAAAATAATACCGACTGTGTACAGTACATTGAGCGATGCTGGGGACATCACTCGTACCCAATTCCCATGAAACTTCATGGTTCATGAAGCCGGCTCATCCTCCCGTAGGAGATAGCCGAAGTAAAGTAAAGTAAAGTAAGTACATTGAGAGGAAGAGAAATGTGTATCACTAGTCTTTATATGCATTCATCTTATCTACAATACTCCGCACTATTTCTTGTACTGGTTTTACCTGCCCATAATAATCAGAAAATTTTCCTTTTGGATCCAGTAGGTACATGACAACAGTGTGGTCGACCTACAAATATAAAAATTCAGACAGTATTACATTGTGAATATAAAGCGATAGATTAGAAATTTGACGTTGTAGTCTCGATCGTGGAAATTCTCTAAATTCTAAAATAATCATTACGGCATGAGGTAGCCCAAATAGATTTCAGTCGCGTATCAGAACTTAACTCTATGGTATATCAACTTGGTCCAAATATGTTGATGCACGATACTTAGTGGAGTGAAACCAATAGTTTACAAGATAGCACAAACGAATGCAGAAGATGAAAGCACTTTTATGGATCTATGAGAAGGGGATTTCCTCCCTCTAATGTTATGAAGAAAAAGTCGAGATAGGTTCTCATATTACTATACTTCAATGACAAAATGAAATCCTTGTTACCAGAATACAAAACTTAAGTGTCATAAATTCGTATTTTGAACTGTTTACACTGCCCTGATTAACTTCGGTTTAAAAGAGCATTTTTGCAGTTAGTCTGATTACTTTGTTGGGAGTTGGGTCGTTTGAATTAAAAACTGCAATTGGTTTTCATAAAAGATTACATTGAATTATGCAACTGACCGGACACCATCTCTATTAAAAAATGAACTATTGAGAGGTCACGCCTATTATCACCAGAACATACACATTGAAAAGCCAAGTAGGTCAAAACCGCATACATACAGGATTAGAATATTAATGCCTGAGATTTTTATTTCCACTTATGAACACCCTTATTTATAAATTTACACACTTGTGAAGAGTTAGATTTTTATTTATTTATTTATTTAAACACACTAACGAAAATTAAAAGTAAACTGATGTACATAAAAATAAAGATAATGAGATGAATAAAAAGATGGTTAACCAACAAAAACAGAATGCACAGACAAGAATTCTCACAAAATATAATTAAAATGTCCTTCCCTTTTTAAGTAATAGAAACGCAGTAACATAATTGCGACCGATGTTGACTGAGACATAATTGAAGACGTTTTGAGACGCCAAGTTGCACTGTCTCTCGAGCCCTCATTCAGTTCATTTCAGAATATACACACAAACCACTGTTAGTCTCTTATTCTAATCAGTCACTGCTGATATTTTGAATTATAAATACTGTTTGGCAGAAGTGGCCTTCAGTACTTAAAATGCCATTATCAGCAGTATGTTAATTACTATAATCATACAGCATAATGTAAAATAAAATACTGATGAGACTTACGATATAATCACCATCAGCGTCCTTTGGACCTGCGCTATAATAAATACGATACAGTTTAGCAGCTTTATCAATCTCTTCTTTAGTACCAGTAAGACCAACCAGATTTGGTGAGAATTCTAAATCATTAAAAAAGGGAAAGACGTCAATTTCCCTAATACACGAATTAGTCACAGTATTCATTTCGTCAGAATATTTCACTAGTGAGAAAAAGTGCCAAATTTCAAAACACCAAGCAGTACTTTGAGCTTCCTTACAACCAGAAATTGCTTGATAAACAGTAAAGAAACATGAAGAAATCCCAACAGTTGTATACGAAACTACAACCAAGATGCCAGTACATTTCAAAGCAAAAAGTAGCATTGGAAACAATATATCTTTACGAAAAACCAAGTTCGCCGACATTAATATCATCATAGCATAAAACTGACCTTTAAAATTCATTCTTAAGGCACGATTTATGTATTCTATGACGAATATCTTTTATCTCAGTTTTGGCAGCATGCGACCATAACAATGTAAAGGTAAGGTATATTGTTATAAAAATCACTTTGTTCACAAAGGAATGTTCAACTTATCGAGACCTAACACCAAAGTTTTTGCATACTTATATACAGGGATATGCTATCAGAATCAAGTTTACTACATTCAAATAATTTCGAAACTTGGCAGGAAACCAGTCGGAAGGCAAGATTCCTCGGTTTTCTCAACTCAATTGAAAAAGTCAACGTTTCTAATCAAACCATATTCTCAATAGATGTGGTATCACTGTTAATGAATGTCCCATTAACTGAGACAATATGCTACATATGCAAACATAGTCACTCAAAGAGGATAAAAACTGGTATACCCATTGACTATTTGAAGGAGCTTCTATTGAGATGGCCTCTAAATGTTCAGTTCTCTTTTAATAATGAAATACATCGACTAAAGGATAGTATAGCTATGGGCTCACCACTATGCCCATTGTTGGCAAATTTTTTCAAAACTAGAAAACACAAATCCAAAGAAAATGACTGACAGCTTCGCGTTTTACAAGAGATATGTGAAGGATATCTTCATTATCTCTAATAACGAGGAGGATTTGGACGACATCCTGGACTTTTTCAACAGCTACCGCACTGCGATTCAGTTGACATCCGATAAGGAATCCGAGACAAAAATATCCCTCCTGGAAGCTTAATTAACAAGACGTGAACAAGAATGAGCACTACAAGGATCCATCTATAGAAAGTCAACATAGAACGGACAATTCTCTAATTTTCATAGTTCGGTGCCTTTATATACGAAACTTAACCTGATCCGTTCACTGAGCCATAGAATCCGCAGAAATTGCAGTCCTGACACTATGGAAGAACAGCTGAACACTCTGGAAAGAATACGCCTCGTAAATGGCTTCCCAGAACGTTTCATCACTAAATCCATGAAGCCCGAACCACTTAAAATGCCCACACTTTCTGCCCCTAAAAAGCGTCTCCACTTGAATCTATAATTGAAAGGAGACTCATCCTCAGAAATACTGAGAAACTACCTGTCCCACTCAATGAAGAAAACTTTTTTCGTGTCTGAACTTCCAAGAACTTTCTCTACAAAATCAATGATTCGCATAAACGTGAAGGATAAGCTACCAATGTTGGCCTAGTTAATGTGTACCAATCAGTTCACCTGCTCGTGTGGAGCTAGGTATGTCGACCGTACCCAGCGTTTGCTATCCAAACGTATCATCGAACACACCCTAATGGTTTTATAAAGGAGAAAAAAATCCCTCAACCACAGCTCTATCTTGGAACATCTGATCAAATCTGGATATCAAGCTAACCCACAAGCTAACTACAAGGTCACTTACAGAATACGCAGGAATCTTATCAAAAGAGTACGAATCAAACTCCTTCAAACCAAAGAATCAATGGTAATTCACCTGTTAAATCCCGAACTCAGCATACACAAGTTCGTCTAATTACTAAATCTACAATGGACCTGACCCAATGCATATTTTTTACCTTTTGGTTTTTAAACTGTAGTCTTCTTCCTTCATCCCCAATCAAATTTTTACCTCTTATTACCACCATTGTTAACTTGACTCTCATTCAATTTCAGTTGAACTCTACTCAATCCCGTCAATTATGAGTCACTCAATTTACTTATCTAATTTTGTTTTAGTTTCTACTCGATTAACACGTAAACTATCTAAAAAATTTGAAATCCTCATGACATATCTTTGGATATTCCTTTTGTTGCTAAGAAAATTCACTATATATGAGAATGATATCACTGAAAAGAGTGACTCTTCAGTGAAGGTCTTTACTTTTATGTGCCGTTTAGCCTCAACGTATGCGAACTTGATATCAGTGACTCTCAGTGATTACCACACAAAATGTAAATGACGATCAATTACCTTTAATGTAATTATTCACAACCTCAGGAGTATCACGCTCGCTATCGATTGTCATAAAAACAGGGACCAAAGGATACTTGGGTTTTTCAATAAGCACTGAAAACAACAAAGAATTTAGAAAATACACAACTAAGCTCCAGATCCTAAAAGGTAAATGTCATGACAAATAATTTTAAGTATTGGTTTTGTAGGGATTTGGTTTGATTGTATGGAGGATGTCAGCTCATGATTAAATCCTCCATACAATAAATAATTTTAAAACACTTCGAACATATCGAGAAGTGTACAAATACTTATGAAGACAAAAAGACATTGGTGACCAAAGAACTGAAAACTTTTGGACTTTCGTAAAAAATATCGCAACGTAACAAACTGCAATACAGCATCCGACTTACCTGCCCATGGGTCACTGACTTTACTTAAGAATCAAATAGTCGTCGAATAGTTACATTTTTAGTTGAGCATGAAAAAGCACATGATTCACTCATCTATTCTTCTTAATCATCCAACATTATTATGCACCAACTTGTGGTTAACCTGCACAAATTAACTGACTTTGAATTCTATAGTTATTCTCACCCTCTCTTGTCATGATTTTTGCAATCAATTATTTTCATCCCTACCATGCCTCAGAACTGATAATTCATACTGACTATCATCACCACGTGATTGATGTAACTGTAATGTATATATATATATATATATATATATATATATATATATATATATATATTAGTATAGAGACATTGAAGAGGGATTAATTGAGAAGGTATGTATTTGGTACAATTTGTGTGTGCAGATAGGAATTGCTAAACTTGCATTTCCGTCCCATCTATGCAATACCTACGATTTCGAAATAAGGGAAAACAAACGTGATTTTCATAAGGCGAAAATCCGTATTTAAAGAAAACAAATTAATCCAAGAAATATTTTTCGACTTAATTCTTGTCAATACATCTACTATATGTAGAGCATTTTCAATAAAATACATCATTTTCCAAGTTCATTAATAATAGTCAATCAATATCAACATGTCGATAGGACGATAATTGGTCACGAAAATTAGCGCAACATTTGAAGGGTTAAAATATTTGTGAAAATTAAAAAGGTAATGACAAAGTGTGCATATAATTAGCAAACTGATGTCTGTTTTAAAGAAGCGCCTTTACTCATAAATGTGTACACTTATGAACGAAAATTGAACATAGCGAAAATATTCATTCAGACATCTAGAAAAAGCAAAATAAATGAGCAAAGAATACTCTTTTCGATAATCTCCTCTTCTGGCTCCACGATTATATGTTTATATATAAAAATATTATAAACTAAAGAATTGAATAGCATCTACACAAATTTTAGTAATAATTACGATTATGACGGACTAAATCTACTTTATCACCATTATTATTATGCCATGAATATAACGTTTTTCCAAAACTCTACATTCATTGTTTACATTAATCGTGTCGAGAAGTCTAATTCCTCATCACTAATTGTTATTCTAATCGGAAGTGAAACGTTTTACCATAACTATAATAGCGACCGTTAAGCGGCGGATATATTTGTGTTGTGTACTAATGGACTTAACCCTAAGTGACTTCAGCGACTCAGCGATTGACTTGCTACCAGGGAATAATCTCGTTGACTTAGAATATGCAGACGATACAGTCCTTCTAGGTGAAGACGCTGACAAAATGCAAAGTCTTCTGAACACCTTGAGCAGTAATCTACGAATGTTTGGCATGCAATTCGCTCCCGCCAAATGCAAGATGACGTTACAGGACTGGACTGCAACGACTCCTAGATTAGAAATAGGGAGTGAAGTGGTAGAGCACGTTGACCGCTTCACTTATTTGGGAAGTACCATCAGCCAGTGCCAACGGGTTGATCTCTGACGAAATCTCGGCATGGATACAGGGGGCTCGTTTCGCATTTGCCAGTTTACGCCGTCTCTGGTGTAGACGAGATATTCGACTATCGACCAAAGGGCGAGTGTACTGCTTATCAGTCCGCTCCATCCTCCTTTATGGCCAGCTGTGAGACCTGGCCACTGAGAGTGGAAGACATGAAAAGATTAGCTGTCTTTGATCATAGATGCCTGCGTTCTGTCTCCCGTGTGAAGTGGCATAATAAGGTGAGCAATATTGAGGTTAGGCGTCGAGTTCTAGGTAAACAGGGGAAAACAATCGACGAAGTTGTGAAGTTACAAAGACTGAGATGGTTAGGACATGTGTTACGTATGCCTGGTCATCGCCTTCCTCGACGAGCAATGTTAGCGGATACAGGGTCAGGTTGGAAAAGAGCTAGTGGAGGTCAAACAAAAACATGGCACCAGTCAATGAAATCTACAACAGTTAGTCTAAGCCATGTAGGAAGGTGTAGACTTCCAGGTTGGGGTCCTCGGGACGGTAAAAACAAATGGTTGGAAACAATTGGTGACATGGCTCAAAATCGTTCTCAGTGGCGCAGATGCATCCACTCCCTGTGACTTATGACTTCCAATTAAACTATGTTGTTCTTCGTTACTACTATTCCTTTGTCTCACACCTCCGTTTACTGTCTCTATTATACCTTTCTTGTACTTTCTTCTGTTGGTTTGTGTGGTGACTTGAACTGCCGCACATATGTCGAAAACAGACAGACAGACATATTTGTGTTGACTGCTGTGGATTTGACTGACCTCATTAAAATGAAAATTTAGGATTCATAACACCATTGGATTCTGATACAGTAGATGAGTGTGAATGCCTTGATTCATATAACCTAGGAATCTTTGGTTTGACATCTGATGACGTCGTGTGTATAATGCGGAAAGGTTCAGTACGAGGATAAAAGATGTTTAACGCTCCCTATTTTTCAGTTTTCCTCTAACCATCCATTTGTGATGAAGTCCAAGTTAAAATCACAGTTGTCTCAATAATATTTTCTAGTAGTAATCTTATTAAACTGACAACTCACTTATTCTGTCGCATACTTCGACAAGCCTTTCAATTTGTTCTGGGCAAATATCTGGGCATCGACAAAACCCGAAATACAACAGAATCCATTTTCCCCGAAAGTCAGATAACGTGCAGGCTTTGCCATTATGATCAATTAAATTGAAATCGCCACCAATCTGAGGACGGCCGAACGATATATTTTTCTCACTGGCTAAAAATTTAATGCGTCAAAATTGATCTCACAGCATAAATGAAGACAATAAGAAACGCTTCGAATAAAATCCACTCCACGAAACTCAGTTTACTTGATATGATTAATTCAGCCCAACACATGTTACGCAGGTAGATGCCAGTTCAATTTCTTAACATACTGGTTAAAACCAAATTCAAACGTCTGTTAACCACAAACGAATCATTTATGAATAAAAGGATAGCACAACAATAAAATACATTTCCCAGTTGCCATTTTCAAGAAATTCAAGCCAATTACCTCTATTTATCTACGCATATCAGCGTTGTAAACAAAAAAAGCCTAATATCAGGCAATGTTTTCCAACACCATTAAGTGCAATTGATATGAAATCCTGAAACAGATCAACCGTAAATTCACCTGCGTTCATTACTATGAGACTAATATCTAACCAATCACATTCGGAAGTATAGGCGCACAACACGAAAGAAATTAGGTGCATCGTATTATTATCTCAATTCCCTTCTAGCCTCCCTAATGGGGCAAAAGATTTAAATTAATCAATGAGGGTTTCCACTACTCTATGGAATGTAAAGAGCCAACCGGAGTTGTACAATACACACTGCTACCTGGCATTCCTGAAACACTAAGAGATCACAACACACTCGATATAAAGCATTGGATCAGTTTAGCAAATATCACGGGGTTTATGAGTGCGTCAGAAGACATTATTATAAAAGATTTTGTATTCCGCAATGAATGAAAAACAAAACGATATTGTTTCTACCGACGTTTCAGTTCAATTTCTCCAAGAATGAATTGTGTAGATCTCGTTTTAGCACAACAAAATTACCACCAATGAATCTTAACCGTGTTTTAGGCGTGAGCATACTTGAAAAGATGTTATCTTTAAGTTTATTGAAAACATTTATTTTCCGATACGAATTTAAAACAAGAAATAAAGGTTAATAAAGCAGGATTTAATGAATTCATCAAATTTCGGTAGAACTCGACAGCTGAATACTCTACATACACGGACATATTAACTTTTGAAATTACTTTGGGAGATATAAGACTGATAAGTAAACAAACTACATTGAATTAGTCATGCAGAAAGACAGGTGCGAATGTTTCCAGGTCATGTTCAAATAGATAAGGGGAGAGAGAGTATGACAGATCATAATTAAGATAAATTGCATTACGCTTCAACTACATCACTTAGATAAACAATTAGTCATTAGGGTATATAACGAGAATTGCAAACAGACTAATATCAATAGTAATAGTTGTAATAATGATAATAATAATAATAATAACAATACGAAGAGGTAAAATAAATCATTTAGTCTCCCGGAAAGCACTATCAATGCACTAAATGATCTAGTGATCTAGGATTGCTAAACACTCTGCACGACGAGATTTTTTGAGGGAATGTATCCAGAATAAATATTTATCGTCGAACATTTTACAAATCCTTGCGTAAAGATCATTTGAGACCTACACGGGCAAATCTTTACCGTCTTGCTGAATGACATTTGTGTTGTGAAACAGATGAAATCAGTAATTTATGCATATTATCAAGCAAACTGATCATTGTACAAAATGACTTAAACTTCGCATGCTATCTTAAATTCACTAAATATCTGCATGCCACTTCTAAAAAGACAAAAGAATCAGAAGAAAAGAAACTGAAGAAGTCACTTCATCCGGAACCGCCAAATGAAATTTTCCCAGTGGATATATCTAATTATGCTCATAATTTATCTGATGTTTCTCTATCAAAAGAACAAGCAGAAGTTCTGTCATTGGAATTCAAATTCTGTGTTCCCATGAAAAAGATAAGGCAAATTGATATCGAATGGCAATTCGAAAGCCTTTATGACCAAATTATGGGGCTACATGCCATGTCCAGTGACAGCGAAAACTGACTGAAATCAAAGATGGTTGATATTGCTCATCAATTTCGAGTCATGCCGACTAATCAAAAGTCACATATCAACAAAGAACACTGGAGATCTCTAAACAAGCTCCGAAAAGACAATAATCTTGTTATTTTACAAACTGATAAAGGACAAAGTGTAGTGCTAATGAACAAGATAGATTATCTCGGAAAAATGCATCATATTCTCTCTGGTGAATCTAAATTCAAATTGGATAACCATGCAAAAGACCAAACGTTATCGACCGAAAGGAAAATTGTGCAGCATCTACGACAACTCTTCAAAAATAAATACATTGACGAAAGCACATAGAAATATCAAACCGATTGGGTCAAAAATCCCAAAACTATACAGACGCGTAAAAATACACAAACCAGGAGCGCCGTTAAAACCCATACTCTCTATGATAAACTCACCATACCACAAATTAGCACAGTGGCTGTGACATGCTGCAGCCCTTGCTGAAACGTTTCGGAACATATATAGTCTCTGATTCATTTCATTTTGTCAATCAAATTAAAGATTTCAATTTATCTGATAAGCAATTGGTCTCTTTCGATGTTACCTCCCTCTTCACAAATGTGCCAGTCGTTGAGACTATCGACTTCATATGTAAAGAAGCTGAAGACATATCCATTCCAACATCGGAATTGGGGAAATTACTACTTTTATGAACTAAAATTGTCCAATTCCAATTCAACGGGCGTCTGTTCCGTCAAGTTGGTGTCGCAATGGGAAGCCCTTTGGGACCACTCTTCGCCGACTTATTCTTGTCACTCCTAGAAACCGGTACCATGCAGCAACATATACAAGAAACGGATGTATACCCAAGATATGTTGATGACATTTTTATTGTCTGTGAAAGCAGATCAAAAGCCGAAGACATGTTGATAAAATTCAACTCATGCCATCCAAATCTCAATTTCACAGTAAAACATGAGGAAAACGATACTATTAAATTCCTAGACGTTTTTCTAGCCAAAATGAATGATGGCACAATCGAAAGATCTATATTTAGAAAGTCTTCATGGACAGGACAGTACATGCACTTCAAAAGCTTTGTTCCAATCCAGTATAAAAAGAACTTAGTCAGAACACTGTTCAATAGAGTACGAAAAATTTGTTCTGACAGTACAATTGAGCATGAAATAAAATCTCTGAAGGATATTTTATCTAAGAATGGATATCCTGAGAAGTTCATTAATAAATACTCTAAAGAAACTACCCCCTGCAAAACAATTCAAACAGTTCCGAGGAAACCTGTCCATATCAGTTTGCCGTTCAAGGGAGATGACGTACAGGAAGTAGTCAAACGAAGACTCGATAAAGCCATCAAGAGAACTTATTATGCTGCAAAACCTGTTATCCTTAACACCCCCAAGCGAGTGCCTCAACAATCTGGGAAAGACCAGTTGCCAATCCTCAACACTTCAAACTGCATATACCAATTTGAGTGTGTTTGTGGCAGCAAATACATAGGTCGTACGGAAAGGCGATTGTCTACTCGCATGATGGAGCATTTGCCAAAATGGTTGAAAACAGCTGAGTGCAAAGTGCCAAAATCCTCAATAACAAAACATCTTGTGGATTATTTTATTTTATTTAAACGCATAAAAACTTGGTACAATATGGCACCAAGAAGGATGCGCCACACAATAATAATAAAACAACATAGATCAAAAAAAAAAAGGAAGGAAAAGAAAAAAATATATATAAGTAGAGAACGGATAAAGAACTTCATCTGGAAGGAAAACACGCTTAACAAGTTCAAACAGTGTTCGTTAACTATCATCGGGAAGGGAAGAAAGAAGGAAATCGCAACACATTCGCCATTGATTACGATTCTTGGCCATATCCGATAACGTTTCGAGCCATCGATTTGAGCTATCTCTCGGACCCCAACCAGGGAGTCGTGACACACCAACCGATGCTAATCTAGCACAAAAATCCTTCATCCCACGACGCCACGTCATGGACTGACCACCTCTCCGCCTTTTCCATCCCGTCCCAGGGCTAGCGAACAGAGACCTGTACGGAAGCCTCTGGGGTGACATTCGCAGCACATGTCCAAGCCACCGGAGCCGGTGTTTCCAGATGACGACATTCAATGAATGGTGATCTCCACTGTGTTCAAACACACGCCGCCGAACCTCAGAATTACTCACGCGATGATGCCATCGAACGCAAGCAATCCTGCGGAGACAGCGGTGATCGAACACGCAGAGTCGCCGCACATCCTCAGCTCGGAGAGGCCAGGTTTCACAGGCGTAGAGCAGGACAGCCCGCACCGAAGCATTGTATACCCGACCTTTGACAGCCAGGCTAACGTCGCGACGGCGCCAGAGGTGGCTCAAGTTGATGTATGCCACCCTAGCCTTCATTATACGGTTGGAAATCTCATCCGTCACCCCTCCGCCAGCACTCACACAACTACCCAGGTACACAAACTTATCAACAACTTCAAGCGGTTCACCCGCAAGAGTGAGTGCAGGTACAGGCTCCTGCCAATCTTGTAACAGTACTTTGCACTTAGACGGCGCAAAGCACATACCATACTTACAGACACTGATCGCCAACTGATTAAGTGCGATTTGGGCAGCCTGCATGCTATCGCACAGTAAGACGATATCGTCTGCATACTCGAGGTCGAAAAGTCTATCTCCAGGTAGCAGATCTACACCACCTTCACGCACATCCTTCAGAGCTGACTCCAGAATGTCATCGATGGCAAAGTTAAAGAGAAATGGAGAGATTGGGCAACCCTGTCTAACCCCACTGTTGGTTGGGAACAGTGGTGATAGTTGGTTGTATGCCCTCACTCTACCTGAGGTGTTTCTGTATAGGGCTTTCAGGATGTTAACAAATTTCTCAGGTACACCTCTCTCTAACAGACAGTTCCAGAGCACAGTTCTGTCCAACGAATCGAAGGCAGCCCTAATATCAAGAAACACAACGATCGTTGGCCTGCAATACGTGTGGCGGTGTTCCAACAACTGACGAAGGGTGAACACATGATCAATGCATCCACGACCTGAACGAAACCCAGCCTGCTCTTCGCGAATCAATCCTTCACGTATTTTGCACAGTCTGCGAAGCAAGACAGCAGCCAATATTTTAGACGCGACTGGTAACAGACTGATACCCCTATGATTGTCACACGAATTACGTCGACCCTTTTTAAAGATGGGGACGATAATGGCTTCGTTCCACATTGATGGTACACTCTCTGTCTCCCACACCTTCCTGAACAACCCAGTTAGAGCCATTGTGAGAGTCTCGCCACCATCTTTAAAAAGAGCCGGGGGTAATTTGTCTGGGCCGGGCGCCTTATGGCGTTTCAGAACTTGGAGTTCCTTACGGACCTCCGCTTCGGTGGGTGGGTCGGTACTAACCGACCAAGGAGCACTCGGGCTAATGATAGTAGACACTGAAGCTGGTGGCCAGCTGAACTGCTTCCCGAAGTGCTCTGCCCAGCGTTCCAGGCGTCTTTTCAGGCTGGTAATTGGAGTGCCATCTGCCTCACAGACCGTCTCGCTGACACCTTGTTTCTTGCTGCCGGTGGCTCGTATGAGTTGGAACAGCTTCCGACTGTTGCCAGATGCAGCAGCTGACTCCATCTCACACGCACGTTCTGACCACCAGGCTTCGCGGTCCTTACGTAAACACTGTCTAATCTTGCGCGTGAGCGCCTTTCGCTGATTGTTGTATTCGCTGCCAGCCGGAATGGACCGGCGTTCATCCATGAGTTGCAAGGAACTCGCAGAAACCCAGTGGTTGTTAGCGGAGCATTCTTTCAAGCCGCAAGCGGCTACACTCGCCTTTTGCATGGCACCTTGCACATGAAGCCAATGTTCATCTATACTACTTGGGGGGTTGCTGGCAAGCATTGTTTTTAACTCATTCTGATATTTCAAAGAAGTAGCAGGTGCTACTAGTTTGCTCACATCAACGCTTAGACGACGGCTTTTACGAACCCCACCAAATCGCAAGACGAACTTGGCACACACTAACGCATGATCGGAGTCCAGGCATGTGCTCCAGAAGGAGCGACAGTCTTGTATGCATCCTCGCCACCGGAAACTGACCGCAATATGATCAATCTGAGTCCAAGCTTGCTTCGCAGAGGGAGGACGCCAGGTAGCGCTACGGCGATGGCTGTGCCGGAAGTTGGTGCTAGCTAGAAATAGGTTGTGATCCGCGCAAAGCTGCAGAAGACGGTCCCCATTATCTGACCTGCGACCATGTAGTCCCCACTGACCACCTAGACGATTCTCCTCTGAGCTTAGACGCCCGACCTGTGCATTCAAGTCCCCAGCCAGCACTACGATATCCCTCCGACCCGCCTGTTTCAAGAGATCGCTCAGTTGGTAGTAAAACTCATCCTTCATTGCATCCGGGCTGCAATCCGTCGGTGCATAGGCAGAGACAACAAATAGACACCGCCTATCTGGCCTACTACTCCTTACTTTCGTATAACCTTCCAGCCTCACAGCACATAAACGACTGTTAATGGGAATCCAGTCGAGCAGTGCAGCTTCGGCTCTAGCGCTCAGTGCGACACCGACACCACAGGGTCCCCGGATAAGCGCAGGTGGTACATACTACTAGAACTTCCAGATGGAGAGGATAGTCGAAGCACTTCACTGGGATCTTGAATGCGGGTCTCCGAAATGCAGCAGACATCGATAGCGAGGCTTTCCAAAGTTCTTGCCAACCCTGCCTGTTGTCCGATTTGCATCAGCGTCCGAACATTGTAGGTAGCCAGCTTGAACGCGGCACGCGGTTTCAGGATATCTGTGTTAGATGTCACATTGGGAACAACCATTTTGAGGACTACTCACTAACATCTCGAAACGACACGGATAGGCTGGGAATCTCGACAAAGGCGAAAGGCTGTCGAAGGTTAAAAAGCCAAGGTTAGCAAAGGTAAAATACAGGAAACTATGTATAAAAATAAAAGTAAGGTAGGAAGGAAATGAGTTGCTTGAGGGATCATCATTGCTTGAAATCATTTTTACTAGCGCGCGTTGAGTTTCAGAGTTCGTTGCTTTAATTCATTCATTGTGTGCGGGCTGAGATACTGCCCGGGCGCCCAGACCGAAGCAGGTGGTTTTATTAAGGGACCACCACCGAGCCTTTGACTTGGAGTCTAATCCGCAAGGCAGCGTCAGCAGCTGGATTCCCATGGTTGCCGGTGACCCATATGGGTTCATACGCCATTCGATCCGACTGGAAACTGGAGCCCATGTAACCCATGGTAACTGCTTTTAGTTTAACCGCTATCCAGAAAACCTCCCTGATATGGTAGAACGAAACAGTCCCAGTCAGTTTAGCTTGTTGGGTCATTTCGGTATTCAAGCCCGACCACCACGACAAGGTAGCAGTTATCGGCCAGGTGGATCACGGGCATGATATCGACGGGGTCAAGTTATTCACCATTGTCAGCAGACAAAGGAACAAGAAGATGCTTGCAATTGCAGAGGCTTGTGCAATTCGAATTTATAAACCAGGTCTCTGTATATAAAAAGGGATGGTCGTGATTCTGAATCTATCATGGTAATACGTTTTACTTATTCGTTACTTATTATTATTACTCTACCTCTTATTATTATTCTTGATTCATTTAAAACTATGCATTATCAGTAGGATTATCCTAACTCACTTCAACACTATTATTATTATAACTATTGATATTAGTCTATTTGCAATTCTCGTTATATTCCCTAATGACTAATTGTTTATCTAAGTGATGTAGTTGAAGCGTAATGCAATTTATCTTAATTATGATCTGTCATACTCTCTCTCCCCTTATCTATTTGAACATGACCTGGAAACATTCGCACCTGTCTTTCTGCATGACTAATTCAATGTAGTTTGTTTACTTATCAGTCTTATATCTCCCAAAGTAATTTCAAAAGTTAATATGTCCGTGTATGTAGAGTATTCAGCTGTCGAGTTCTACCGAAATTTGATGAATTCATTAAATCCTGCTTTATTAACCTTTATTTCTTGTTTTAAATTCGTATCGGAAAATAAATGTTTTCAATAAACTTAAAGATAACATCTTTTCAAGTATGCTCACGCCTAAAACACGGTTAAGATTCATTGGTGGTAATTTTGTTGTGCTAAAACGAGATCTACACAATTCATTCTTGGAGAAATTGAACTGAAACGTCGGTAGAAACAATATCGTTTTGTTTTTCATTCATTGCGGAATACAAAATCTTTTATAATAATGTCTTCTGACGCACTCATAAACCCCGTGATATTTGCTAAACTGATCCAATGCTTTATATCGAGTGTGTTGTGATCTCTTAGTGTTTCAGGAATGCCAGGTAGCAGTGTGTATTGTACAACTCCGGTTGGCTCTTTACATTCCATAGAGTAGTGGAAACCCTCATTGATTAATTTAAATCTTTTGCCCCATTAGGGAGGCTAGAAGGGAATCGAGATAAGAATTACAATAAATAATAATATTCACCTGATTTCGTCTATCGGTTGACTACAGGCCTGATGTATTGTCCTTTTTGTTCCCTAACACATCTGATCACCTCAGATGTCATGACAGGTGTTCGAAAGCCAAGGAGGGACTTTATCGCTGTGGACTACTAGTTGTGTCGCCGATTCCTTTACTCGTGGAACAGGTCTCAACGCTCTCACTTAACTTATTCAAGATGGGTATAGACAAGCACAGGAAGTTATTGAAAAAGGACCAACACAAGCTCCAAGTCTTTTGTCGTCAGTCCATAAATCTGAATTCTGTCCAGTGACCGACTAAGGTAAATAATTGTCAACAGCTGAAAACCAAATTCCTTCGCAGTCTCTGAGAACAAACAGAACGTCGTTTGTGCATCTCAGAGTCGTTCGGTCAACCTATGAGAATTCTAAACAGTTAATTCCCATCATTTATCTGTGTAACCATTAACGAAACTGACAGGATGTCAACCAAATGGTTCCTTCATCCCATTTACGAGGTACTATAAACTACATTTTGCTGGGGCCTGTTCATTTTGCTTGTTAAGTACGCAACAATAAACTGTGAAAACAAAATACCTACAAGATAAAGTATACCTTCAAATATGGATTAAGACACTAATCCTAACACACATCTATTTACCACATTAAGTTAGATGAGTTTCGCTAACCTTTTTTGAGGTCCCTTGACATGTATATTGCACCTCCTGCGACCAAACCTGTAAAGCCGACAAAAACACTCCATTGAATATATCGCAACCTCTATAAATCATTCACCCATAACATAAACAGAACCTACATCTGACCGGCGAGTCGACATATGCCTGTATGGAATATGATACTGGGAAATTAATGTCTTACTAAATATTACGAATTTACTGACAATTAAAAAACTAACCTAATTCCCAAACACCTCATACTTCGACCACAAAACATGCTAATTAACTGCAACAGCCGCCCTTATGCAGTCACCTTGCCGTATGTCGTGTAGGCTGAAATTATCCAGCATGCTCAAGGTCATTGGCGGAGTGAGACGCTCGAAGGTCATTTTCGTCCATATTAGTCGGCCATGTTGGATTGCATTTCCGTAGCCGTTCGTTTACACATCGGTTTTCCCGTTTATCCTGCATTTGTTCACAACTTGTCTTGATGCACATTGTCCACAAATGTTGTGTTTCACCTCATTTTTGTTTCCGTTGCTGTTAAAGTTACTAATTTCATATGTTTCGGAAGTTTTTACCACCAGGGCAGTGCATTCATTCCATTACAATTGTTTCACACGTTGTTTTCATGCCTGGTTGCAATGTTTTAGTTGTTTTTCAGCTACTAATGAAGTAGTTCTGCGTGGAAGTTTAGGAAAATATGCACATGAACGTGTTAAGCTGACAAAAGCCGTTGTTTTTAGTCCATTTGCTGGTTGCCGTTATTGTTTCTTGCTCAGCTGATTTTTTTTTTTTTTTGATTTACAGCTTGATTCCACACTGTATTTTTTGGTACAAGTATGGGATTTTCAGCATGGATATCGGTAGCCCAAATTTTACAGGCCGACCTTAGATATCAGGTGTGCGTCGGCGTGGGCTCGAACCCCGGACCATGTGCATGGTCGGCGAGAGTCCTAACCACTGTGGTATGTACAAATCTGGAAAAAACAATGTCTTTCACATGCATGTTTACAGCTTGCAGCAATCTGTGAGTCAATCTGGTGATGAGAATACGATCAGGTTTGATATTGGCTAGGTTTACGAAGAGCATCTTAAACCTGGAGATTTCAAAACGTGGTTTGAAGTTGAAAAAGCTTTGAAGCTTTTCGAGAATCTGAGTATACCATCAGTGTATATTATCAGTTAAAGAATCAGATATATTGTCAGAGGATCTATATCAAACAAGGTTGAGTCACATGAGATGTATGAATCTGTTGTGCCTGTATGTAGTTTTGGAACTGAAGGAAACTTGAAAGCAATGAGAAACCCCTGAATGGTAAGTGTTACCTATCCTTATTAATACCTAATGTACTAGATCCAAATACATGAACTAAGACCGCCTGTAGCAAAGCCGTTGTTAACGGCCGTTCAGTGTGTTGCAAAACCACTTCAAAAGCGGAAAACATGATGATCTGGTGAGTGTACGAACTATCCCAGTTAAAGGTAAGACTTTAATTAGCGAGAATAACATTCGGGTTGTGGTCTACAACAAGCTGAGAAGCTGATTATTATTCGGGGTGAAAATATTGGCCGAATACAGATTGCTTACTTCATTTCAAATAATGAAATTTCTATTTTGTGGATGTTTGTGATTTCTCCGTGGCTATAAATATGGATGCTCATGGTCTTTAAGAAAACTAAATAAATTTTCCTGAAACCATTGGTCTTCTTTTTCTTGGTGAAACATCTGTTAATACTATTAGAAGATTAGGCAGCAAAGTAGGATTTTCTGTGATTAAGAATCGTAGCCGTCGTGTTTCGGATTAATATCGCGCTTGTAACTGTTATAACCCTATGGATATAGGTTTTCCCTCATAGTACATTATGATATCTAGAAGTCATAAGCATACCGGCTTCCGTAAATTTATTCTTACTTTTTAAGTGACTGCAAATAGTGAGTCATTTAAGGTGACAGGATGAATACCTCTAAACGCTTTCGTGAAGATTAGGATGTATTCATTTTTTCGACTAGGAGACGATTTTTTTACCAAGAAGGTTCCCAGGATGACCGCTTTTACTTTGAAATTCAAAGATAACGTTAAGTTGCTCCGTAAGGTAGTAGCTAACCCAGTCGGTTAATGCACATGGGCAAACGTGGGATAAAAGGGTAGTTCTGATCGGCAAACACGTGGGCAAAAGATGGTGTAAATGCAACCGATTTTACCCACTTTTTCCCATGTCCAGATAAAATTTGTTTGTCCCACCTTTTCGCAGTTTTCCCACGTTTTCACCCATTTATCCCATGTGCAGGAATTGAAAATATACCCACATTTTCCCCGTTTGCCCATGTCATTTTAGAAAACAGCCCACTTTGCCCATGTTACAAACGAAAACAGCCCACCTTATCCCACTTTGCCCACATTTAAACGGAAAACTACCCACGTTTTTACCCACATATCCCAGGTCCACAAAAAAAGTAACCGACTGGGTAAGGGTGATTACCTTCAGCGGAAACCACTTCAATGTAACTACGTAGCTTTAGGTAATGCGTCATAGAAGTAAGCAGCGTAGGTTAATTGTGTCTGAATGTATTAAACGTCGTATAACTGGTCAAATCGTAGCTCTTACATACTAGTTAGTCTTATAAATAATGAATGCACCGTACAAAGGTTTACTTTGATTTGCATACCTAGCTCATAAGCATTATACATGTGGTATACATTTAAGGCTGATACGTTGTGTGATGAGTTCTGCGAAACACGGTTGTATCATGATTAAAGCAAGAAAAACAGGTCAAGTATAGGTAAGATGCACGGAGTGACAAACTGTAAGAGGAGGGGATGAGTTATGCTTGAGTGCCTTAACTTCTCAATGTGAACAGTCAGACGAAATATTACTTTAGAAATCGCTTAGACATGGGAAGGCCAGGATTTGCCAGAAGAAAGAATTAATCCAAGATACTTAACTTCAGACTTGATTTCTAAATCACTCATAAATTATACAACGGTAATGGGAATTAACAACTCCATTTAAGTTTCTTTTACATCTAAAACTGAAATTAACTGCCTGACATTTGGAAGGATTTAGTTTAAGGCCGTTAGACGAAGACCATTTGCTAATTCCTGATAGAAAGCTGTTCATTTTAGTACTGTTTAGCTGGGAGTTGACAGACACTGAAATAGTTAGATCATCGGCATACTTAAAAAATAGATATTCAAACACTGCAGTTGTTGATCATAGAAATGATGGATATTAGATAACATCACATGATTTAACAGCATATCAGAAATAAATAAAAATTGTTTCTTAGCTCGTCGCCAAGTAGACAGTCTATTTGAGGATGCCACTGCATATTAACTCATTAATGAAGTAGACATCAACCCTAATTTCCTACACTTACTTGTGCTACATACTTGGCGTTTAACAGTATACAGACTTGCAACTGTCTAGATAAGGAGACTTTAGTGCATTGAACAGTACAGAATTATTATTCAACTTGCTAAATCCCACTTAGCTTTTACGATGTACTATTGTGTAGAAACAGACACGAAATCCTATTAATGACTAAAGTAACAGTCTCGTAATACTACAATAAATCTCCACCCCACTAACTAAGCTTAGCGTTTATTATTCCTAATTCACTTATTACAAAAGCACATAGTATAGCAACCAATTGAAAAAGTCCAGAGGAATTACAAATCAAGAGTATATTAAACATTTGGTTAATTTACAAAAGAAAATCCTGATGAAGGGTATTAACGTTAGTTTGACCGAATGATATTTCCGCTGATTTTATATTCGACAACCTCCGTACACCTGGAAAAAATAAAGTACATGTAAGAACTAGCATAACATGAAGTTAACAAGAGATAATTCTACATATTAGCATATACTATGAATACACTGATTCTGTTAACACTAAGTAATATCTCATGCAGATAAATGTATCTGTAGTCTACAGGTGATATTTATGTTGACGCTGTATGCATAAATAGACATCATATGTTTCCCTGTATTTGAGGATTATACGCGAATTTCAAGACAATCTCCGGAACATCCATACTATTGAGGCGTCATTCTCTCATCAAGCTTACTTGCAGATCAACTTCACGCTAAATACTTTTACATGAAATGAAGTATTGCAAATGTATAACTTAGAAATTAATCCACAATCTCAGTAACGTCTAGTCCACAAGGTTTTGTGAATCCTACAGAAATCACATTTTCACATTTAGGAGACTATAGGCATCAAATATAAGCTGAACATGCCTGAACTCCAAACAGCTATGCGCAGTGTTAACGACATAGAGAAACACTTAAACTATTGTAAAGTACACAGACCTGTTGTGTTGATGAGGATAATAATGTCATATAATGCAAACTAGAAAATGCAATCGTCACAGCGCATCTGTACTGCTTTGTCTAAATGGAAATCTCAGGGGAAATTCATCTCCACTATTGGTGATCAAAAATATTGCAGCATTAAGTATACAGTCAGTGGAAATTGTAAAACAGACAATAGATTCATAATAATGATAATAAAGCTGAATAGATTCAGTTCTCATAATCACCGCGACTCATGCGTGTAATCATACCGTGTAATGATTTAGTGCATTAATTAGAACAACAAGGAAACTTAAACGAGTAATTGCCTTCTCCACTGCACTGTACTTGCAATAATCGTGACAACCACCTTCGTTTGTTATCCTATCAGTCAGCTTAGTACACAATGGCACAATATTATTAAAGTTGAGATATTTTTGTACATTTAATTCACATAACCCATAGCACACTGCACCAATCAGTGCCAATATACATGAAATCCACTTAGAGATAACCTTTCAACTTACTATAATTCCTGTCCAACCACAGATAAAGTGAAAAGCACATCTAAATGATAACTTAGGTTCCCACAAACGATTCTGATAGCATTTGCAAATGATTTCCAAGTACTGAGAGGATTATTTTGTCATAAAAGACTGTTCTTCACACGAAAATAGGCTGTATTGATATCCTGTGACATGATCATGTCATCAAGATTTCGAAGTCTTCATTGGATGATACTATGCCGAAAGAAGCAGCTTCTACATGGAGTAAACGATTTGTGTAAATGGCATTACCCTCTAACTATCCTATCTTCCTCATTACACCTATATTTTGATACAGTCCGCCTGAAACATTAATCATTGCAACCCAGATTCTAAAAGTGTGTCGCAGTCGGATCACATGACGCGGACACCAACATAACTAGCCGAAAAATGGGAATTTCCCTCAATCTAGATAACATATACCACA